GTAAAACCTTTTACACTATAAACGAACTCCCTATTTTAAGCGTGTCTTGTTTGATTGGATTTCAGTCATAGTTAAACGTACTTAATCTCCCTGACTGCAAATCATAGTTAATCTATTCAACGTACCAAATTGGTTAACAGCGTTGTATAAGAGATGCCCAATCTATTCGAAAAAATCTTTTGCCTTGAGTTATTGTTATATTTCTTGTAAATAATGTTGGCGTGAAAACTTTTGTGATGAATAATATTAATCTCAGGTGCTGATGTTGCCTTATCCTCTGAGAGTATGTTTTTTTCTTGAGTGATAGCTGAATGGTGTTGGATGCAAGCGTGTCGATTAAAATTTTTAACAAAAGGGCACGGTATACGGCATGGTGTTGTTTTTTGATGAGGAAACTTTTTTGTAAGTAGGTAATTACAAGCTACGTAGATACCAAAGTGAAATCTGTATCGTTTATAAGAGAAGTTGAAAAAAGTTTTGGTAATATTGTTGCTGCACGTGATTTTTCCTTCACGTGATGTGATCAAATTGATTCTATCCAACAACTTGAGTCGTATCATGTTAAAAAATTTGTTCTGAATACGCCGAGGAATAACTCGTTGATGTAAAAAAGTGCGTGAGGCATTTCGATATTTGAAATCGATGATTAGGTAATTTGCTTGTGGAATAATACTGAATTGGGGTTGATAACATATGATGATCGTTTGTGTATATTTTAAGGTGAATTTCATTGGTGTCTGGTATTCGATCAACAACCTCAAAAAAGAAACTTTTTGAACGCCTACATTCATAGATCTTATTATAACCTGCTTTGGACGCAGCGGTCACGTGAAATATTTCGAAAGAGACCAAAAAAGAGAAGGTCGACCTAGATTTGTGGATTTCATAAATCTTGTTATAACCTGTTCGTTTTGGCGTAGTCACGTGAGATTTTTTCAAAGAGACCGGGAGGGTAGTTTTTTTCTCGTCTTTGAGTGAATTTTCTGAGATAGGTGCAGTATTTGTAGGCGGTAAAGGATCGATGGTCTGTATAGGAATTAAAGGAGTGCTGGAAATTGGAGGTAGATCATTTCCTCCGTAGTTGACTTCTTGTATTTCAGCATTTAGTGAAGTATTCAATAGTTGTTTAAAATAATCTTCTTCGTTATCATCATAGGTTTCTTCCAAATCATCGTCTTCAAGGTGAAGAGTTGAGTACGTATAAGGATAAATATCATCAATATCAAGGGCAAGAATATCCTTAGCAGAAAGTACTGTTGGTCACTCAGTATCATGTAATATTATGTCTGAGTCATTTTCAGGTAGTGTAGAGTCACCGAGTTGAGGGTAAGAATGTTGTGAAGCGGAAGACCAGTCTATTTCAATATAAGGTGTAGAAGACATATTCCTTTATAATATAGGATATTAAAGAACTAAAAACCTCGTATGCAACCAGAGGTGCCCGTCTGGGCCTCTCCCCCTTCAGTGTTTCAAATAGAAACTAAAAAAAAACTTGCGCTAAATTACTGCGGATAATTAACAAACCGTAAAAAAAGGGGAAAGAGTTTTTTTTTTTTTAACTGATTAGTTGATCAGGCAGGTCATGTATGATCATCTTCATGCATATATTGCACGTGATCTTTTATGTGTCAGGCATATACTTGCCGCCCATATAAATGGGATTGGGAGAATCCCATATCCCATCCCACCCATATCCCATCCCATATCCCATTTATCCCATCCCATTTGTCATAATCCCATTCCAATCCCAAATCCCAATCCCATTCCAATCCCATATCCCATATCCCATCCCATATCCCATTAATCTTATACATGTATATTGTGTAACCTTGCTCCCATTGGTCTATATATCACGTGATGTTACACAAAATTCCAAAAAAGGAAATTTTTCTTCCCACAAAAAATGGGAGATTTGGTTTCACAAGCATTCCGAAAAAGGATATTT